TCACCCTTGCCTCTCGCCTTGTCAGTCTATTTAAACGAGCGGAAATCCGTTCCTCAAAGAGACAGAAGGTCTCCCCTTTTGCCATGGGCATTTCTCATTCCACCTTTCCCAAAGGGAGCTCCCAAGTGTTTCTATTCCTTTTTTCAAAACGCCCCCCCATTCTTGTACCCATCTTCTACACCACCTTGGGGGTTACCTCTCCAAAATCACTCGTATCTAATCTTTTGCTGTCCTCGGTCAGAGTTCCTACTTTTAAAAGCCTCGTCTAATCTGCTTTTTCGAGTTTCTCTCTCACAAGCCTCAGTATCGACAGACCTCGTACGACACCTCCTCCAATCGTCCCTCACTTCTCAAAAGTCAAAAAAAGGTCCGTTAACACCCCCTACCCATTTTCCCCCTCCTATTTTACCCCCCTGTCTCTGTCCCTGTTCTTCCCCCCCTCACGGCCCCGTTACAAGTGTGAGGTTCCCCTCCTCCCCTTTCTGTACCTTCCTCCCCTGTTCCTCCCCAATTTCTTCCCCTTTTTTTCCACCCCCCCCAGGTTTCCCGCCTCTTTTCCCCCCCCACCTTTTCCAGTTCCCTCCACCCCTTTTGCCCCCCCCTACCTCGGACGTCCAATACAGTTCCAATCTTTACTCTCCTCCCCTACCATTCCAATATTGTTTCCCCTAGTCTCTGAATTCCAAACACTTTAAGCAATCTTGAATATATTGCAGGCCCAAAAAATCAATAAACAGATCCCCTTTCCCCTCTTTCTCTCTCCTTGCTCCATTGCGCAAATCCTTTCTTCACAGCCACCGTTCCTTCCTGTTTAACGTTTTTCCCCTGCCCCCGGTGGACTTTTCTAACCTTCTATCCTAGGAACCCCCTTTCCTGGGATTTCAAGTACTTTATCTTGCCAATCCCTGGCCTATTTACAGTGGGAATATAGCGGGCCCCAAGGGTAAAAGGGGTGAGCTTCGATGTTACTCCCCAGTTTTCCTCTGTTGGGTTTTCTTACAAAAAAAAATTTCATGCCCGTTTTTCTAATCTCTGGTATAATTTATGTATTCTTCAGATCCTTTTCTTTTGGGACTTTAATGAAAGTGCTTCTTTCCGCACTGATATTCCTACCTGCTTTTTTTTAATTCGCCCGCATTACACAGCAGCCCGTATCCACTTACATAGGTGGTATAGCTCTGTTCTTTATATCTCTCTCCTTCTGGGGCATTATCTATTCCGGATTTTGCCTTCCTTTTTTGCGTCATTACCGCCACCGTTTTTTGTTACTTGTTATTTTAATGCCCCCCATTTCCTCTGGGGGGGGGTCTCACTGTGATTCCTTGGAATTCAGTTAGAGGCTTTTCTTGCCACCCCCCCCCTCATGTTTTTAAATACAGGTACTCACACCCATTTTGATCCTCGGACTCATACTCTCTCTTGCATCAATCTCTCAGTCTGCTCTTCCTCCGCCCCATTAGACTTCACTTGGTCTGTTCTCCCGGACTTGCATGACAGTGATCATTTCCCAATAATTCTTCCCTTTCCCCCTTTTTATTCGCCACCTCTTCGCACCCCACGCTGGCAATTTAATCGGGCAAATTGGAACCTTTACTCACACCCAACTGTTTTTTAAGAGGTTCCTTCTTCCCTCCTCCATCGATGAGCTTTTAACCTCTTCTCGTCCCCCGTTTTCACCGCAGCTTCTCATTCATACCCCAAACTTCGGGCAGGCATTCTCCCGAAATGCGTGCCTTGGTGGTCTCCTGCTTGTGCTCGTTTCAGTACGTTTGAAACGCACTGCATGGGGCAGGTAACCGGTACAAAAGAACCACAGAGCGACTCCTTGATTTTAAACAGAAGCGTGCGATCGTCGCCGTGCCATCCGTGATGCTAAAAGCATTGCTGGCGAGATTATGTCTCCACCATCACCTCTGCTTCCTCTATGAGTGCAGTCTGGAAAAAAGTACGAAAACTGAGTGGTAAATATTCTCCTGACCGCTCCTGTTCTGCGGGTTGCCGGTGTTGATATAGCAAACCCACTAGATGTTGCCAATGAAATTGGCAATCATCTGGTCGTATTTCTCAGGGACTCCATTATGCCCCTCATTTCTTTCCTCAAAGTCTGCCAGAGAGTTAGCACCCTTGACTTTTCTTCTCTCAGAGAAGAACAGTATAATGTGCCTTTTACACTTCAAGAACTGGAGGCAACACTCTCAGCTTGTCGATCATCAGCAGCTGGGCCCGACGACATTCATATTCGTATGCTACAACATTTACATCAGTCAGCCCTTGCAGTCCTATTACGCCTTTACAATCTTATTTGGTCACAAGGAGTTCTTCCACAGCTGTGGAAATCCGCCGTTGTTCTCCCTTTCCGCAAACCAGGCACTACGGGACATGAAACCTCCCACTATCGTCCCATTGCTCTTACCAGTGCAGTTTGCAAAGTAATGGAACGCCTAGTAAATAGACGTTTAGTGTGGTATTTAGAGACACACAACAGTCTCTCCACTCGTCAATATCGCTTTCGTAAGGGACGTTCTACCATAGACCCCTTACTACGCTTGGATACCACTCAGTTATTGCCATATTTTTTGACCTTGAGAAGGCATATGACACAACTTGGAGGTATAATATTTTAGCCCAAGCCCACTCCTTAGGCCTTCGAGGCAATCTACCATCCTTCCTTAAGAACTTTTTAACTGACAGGCATTTCCGTGTTCGGGTTAATAATGTGCTCTCCCCGGACTTTATCCAAGCTGAAGGTGTCCCCCAGGGATGTGTTCTGAGCACAACACTTTTTCTCCTTGCTATTAATGATTTGGCCTCTAGTCTTCCATCAAATATTTGGTCATCACTCTATGTTGATGACTTCGCTATTGCCTGTGCAGGCGCTGACTGTCACCTCATTACAGCTTCTCTCCAACATGCAGTCGACCATGTTTCCAATTGGGCCACCACACGTGGGTTTAAATTTTCCAGCACTAAAACCCACCAAATCACTTTCACTAGACGCTCTGTCATCTCCGATCATCCTTTGTACCTCTATGGCTCCCGTATTCCTGAACGTGATACAGTCAAGTTTCTAGGCCTCCTCTTTGATCGTAGGTTATCCTGGAAACCTCACATTACCTCTCTGAAGGCAACTTGTCACAGCCGGCTGAACCTTCTTAAAACCCTTGCTCATCTTTCATGGGGAGCTGATCGTCGAACCCTCCTTTGCCTACATTCCACCCTTATTTTATCGAAACTTGATTATGGTGACCAGATCTATTCAGTATTCAGTGGCATCTCCTGCTACTCTCTCTAGCCTTAACCCCATTCATCACCAAGGATTACGTTTATGCCTTGGTGCTTTTCGCTCTTCCCCTGTCGAGAGCCTCTATGCAGAAGCGAACGTTCCATCCTTATCCGATCGCCGTGATGCCCATTGCCTGCGCTACTATGTACGCTCTCATGATCTCCGCAATCCTTCCATTTATAGAATGGTCACTGATATTAGTAGACATTCTTTATTTGTTCGCCGCCCCTGTTTACTCCGTCCCTTCTCTCTTCGCCTTCATTCGCTCTTGTCTTCTCTTCAACTACCACCTTTCTATGTACATGTAGCATCTCACTTTTCCCTACCCCCTGGGAAGTTCCAGCTGTTCGAGTCTGTTCTTTCTCCCTCCCTTGCTCGAAAGCCCAACTGTCTACGGTCGCTTCCCGCTCTCTTTTTCTTGACCACTTTCACTCTCATTCTCCATGCCATTGCTGTGTACACAGATGGCTCTAAGTCTTCTGACGGCATAGGATTCGCAGCAGTGTTTCCGGACAGCGTCGTACAAGGGCATTTACTATCTTCGGCTAGTATTTTTACTGCTGAATTATATGCCATCCTTACAGCACTTATCCGTATTGCATCTATGCCTGTGTCATCATTTGTGGTTGTCTCAGACTCCCTTAGTGCTTTACAGGCTATACAAAAATTGATACACCTCACCCCTTAGTCCTCCGTATCCAACTTTGGCTACGCCGCATCTTTACCAAGCATAAAGATATTGTTTTTTGTTGGGTCCCGGGTCATGTTGACGTACAGGGCAATGAACAGGCAGACACTGCTGCGCGGTCAGCAGTACATGACCTACCAGTTTCTTATAGAGGTATTCCATTTACGGACTATTTTACTGCAATATCTTCCCACCTTCACACCCGTTGGCAACAACGTTGGTCTACTATGCTCGGCAACAAATTTCAGTCTTTTAAAACCGAGTATAGGTTACTGGCCGTCTTCTTATCACCAGTGTCGAGGTTGGGAGATGACTCTCTCCCGTCTTCGCATTGGCCATACTCATCTTTCTCATGGATATCTCATGGAGAGGCGTCTTGCTCCTCTCTGTGAGAATTGCCAAGCTCCATTATCAGTCAGCCACATTCTGTTGGACTGCCCACTTTATCAACGAGCACGCAGAATTTACCCTCTGTCGTCGTCTTCGCTCCGCTGCTCTCTCTTTACCTTCCCTTCTCGCTGATGGACCCACCTTTCATCCGGACTCTCTCATTGACTTTTTGACAACAACTGACTTCACAAATTCTGATACCTTCAGCCCTTTCTACTTCAATCTCTTGCTACCCTCTACCCCCGTACTATCCCCTGCCCCGCTGTTTTCTGTAACCTGCTGATCACCCCCCCCTCCCTTCTGCCATCCATTCCCTTGCTTCCTTCCCTACCCTGCAGCGCTGTATAGCCCTTGTGGCTTAGCGCTTCTTTTTGATTATAATAATAATAATGGTCATAATTTGAAATGACCGTATTAGCGGAACACCGTAAAGCGAAATGCCATAAAGCGGGGCCCTGCTGTACTACGGGATTGACTCTGGCTTCTAAGCTGTAATAATATGGGACTGACAGTGAATGGGTTAAAAGTGACAATTTTATTTAGTGAAACATGTTAATAGGAAAAAATTCTTTTCTTGTTGAGTATGTGTTGTTGGTAATTGTGAAAATTGTTCTATACTGACTCATATTTCTATTGCAGAAGTACTTTGTGGAAGATTACCAAGTTGTGTCTTGCCAGACATTATATCTTCAGTACTACAAGAAAGGCAACATCTGTTATCCTTGTGAATTTTTAACTAGCTAAGTATTCCTAATTAAACAATTTTACTTTTTGATATTGGGAATTCTAGCTAAATATGCATGGTAGTTAATAGAAAAATACATGCTAGTAATACTGTAATTAATAATTTTCAGAAAAATCTGTATAAAAACAAGATAAAATAATAATAAAAGTGATGTTGAGTGTATCTGCAGTGTTCCACTACATATATTACTCTTTTAACACACAAAACAAAAATTATGATAGTGTTTTAATGCACAATATAAACTTTATTAGTGCTTATAAGTAGGGAAAGTTTTGCTTAAATAAATCTTAACATGGGAATATGTTCATAAGGAAAACTGTGTTTTCACTCTCCAAAATAGTTGAAAAAATTATCTTGAAATAACTACATAAGGAAGATTAACTATACCAATGTTGTATGACTTTAATGTTTTAAATGAAATACCATTGTTTAAAAAATATGGAAACACATAAAGAAAATAAACCATATCGATGTTCAGAGTGTCTGAAATGTTTTAGTGTAAAATGGAATCTGGTGAGACATATGAGAGAACATACAGGAGATAAACCATATCAATGTTCAGAGTGTCTGAAATGTTTTAGTGTAAAAAGCAGACTTGTGACACATATGAGAGTACATACAGGAGATAAACCATATCAATGTTCAGAGTGTTTGAAATCTTATAGTCACAAAAGCCATCTTGTGACACATATGAAAGTACATACAGGAGATAAACCATTTGAATGTTCAGAGTGTCCGAAGTGTTTTAGTGTAAAAAGCAGTCTTATGACACACATGAGAGTACATACAGGACATAAACCATATCAGTGTTCAGAGTGTCTGAAATGTTTTAGTGTAAAAAGCAGTCTTGTGACACATATAAGAGTACATACAGGAGATAAACCATATCAATGTTCAGAGTGTTTGAAATGTTATAGTCACAAAAGCCATCTTGTGAAACATATGAAAGTACATATAGGAGATAAACCATATGAATGTTCAGAGTGTCTGAAATGTTTTACTGAGAAAAGCAACCTTGTGAGACATATGAGAGTACATAGAGGAGATAAACCATATCAATGTTCAGAGTGTCTGAGATGTTTTACTGAGAAAAGCAAGCTTGTGAGACATATGAGAGTACATACAGGAGATAAACCATATCAATGTTCAGAGTGTTTGAAATGTTTTACTGAGAAATGGAATCTTGTGACACATATGACAGTACATAGTTTAGATAAACCATATCAGTGTTCAGAGTGTCTGAAATGTTTTAATCAAAAAGGCAATCTTGTGACACATATGAGAGTACATACAGGAGAAAAACCATATCAATGTTCAGAGTGTCTGAAATGTTTTAGTCTAAAAGGCAGTCTTGTGACACATATGAGAGTGCATACAAGAGATAAAAAATGTTAGTGTTAAATGTTAAAGGAATATTTTAGTTTTAAACTCATCAGAATATATAAAGTGAATGTACCATAACAGTGTTGAGAGTGAAATATGTTACTAATAATAATAATAATAATAATAATAATATCTTTAATTACTACAATTACATGTACAAGGTATAGAGGCCTAGCTGGCATCAGTGACATTCTACTATATAGAAAGCCTCTTATTATGCTGAGCATTTCCTGCAAATTAGGTCCTTGGCCCAGGATGCAACCCACACCAGTTCACTAACTCCTAGGTACCCATCTTACTGATGGGTGAACATAGACAACCAGTGTAAAGAAACACGCCCAGTGTTTCTACCCACACCCTCTTCAAGGAGGGCTCCTTGATGTGGTGAAGAGGCTCTTGGTCTGAGGAATTAAACCTGTTGGTCTCCTTCCTCAGACCGAACCTCATTTTCGCCCAATCCCCTTTTATCTATCCCATTATCCCCATCCTCTCTTTTTCCTTTCCTCCTCCTCCATGCCCCTCCCTTATTCCCTTTGTCTTTTTGGCCTTTGGGTTTCTTCCCACAGGCATCCTAGTTCCTAAGTAGATGTAAGGGTAGCAGGGTCCATTTCATTCCATTGAGGTTCTTGGCAGTGGTGTAGTTTGCCGTGGAATTTTGATCGCATGGAGATGTCCCGATCCCTCTCCGATCTCCCGAGGAGTGCCTTTGGGTGTCTTTCGGGCGATGGGTGTATCTCTGGAGGCCGCCTTTCAGATTCAAAGCATCAGAGATCGTGTTACTGAAAGAAATATCTTAATTGGTTTTAATATGCTCAGGCAAGTCCATTCAAACTGCTGCACAGAAGCTCTTTAAATTTTCCTCAGCAGTGGTGAACACCCCTCCAGATGGATCGAAAAAACTGAACCCACCCTCCACATGAACCAGATACATGATCTATGTCAAGTAAGGCAACAGGGCACTTCTCCGCTCCATGGAATATTATCCCATTCCAAACTACCATTCTTCCATTTTCACCCCCCAAAATATTTTTTGAATCACAACCAAAGCTTTGCCTTACCTGGAGCTTACCTGGAGATGATTTTGGGGGTCAATGCCCCCATGGCACAGTCTGAGACCAGGCTTCATGGTGGATCAGGGTCTGATCAACCAGGCTGTTACTGCTGGCCGCATGCAAGCTGACTTACGAACCACAGCCCGGTTGGTCGGGTACTGTCTTTAGGTGCCTGTCCAGTGCCTTCTTGAAGACAGCCAGGGGTAGTGCTGCTGTTGCCGTATAGAGTTATGGCTCTCATAAATAAATTGGAGCATGCATCAATGACTGGGCCTCAACCCTTCAAACAGAACTGCCATACTCCTTGCACTCAAATGCATCCATGTGTCTAAAGTTGACACTTTAATTGTAACTGATTCTCTGTCATCCATAAATGCTCTCAACTCATTAAGTATAAATTGTGGCATGCTTGTGTCAGAAGCCAGACTCCTGGAAAATCCTAGAGGGACTAGTACCAAACTTGCTCACGAAAATCACTCTCTCCAAAAGCAAAAGACTCGGCAGACAATGCAACATCCCCCCAATGAAAAGCAGGGGTGTAACTAGCACACTAAGAGACAGCACAGTAAGTGTCAGGGGCCCAAGACTGTTCAATTGCTTCCCAGCATACATAAGGGCGATTACCAATAGACCCCTGGCTGTCTTCAAGCAGGCACTGGACAGGCAACTATAGTCAGTACCTGACCAGCTGGGCTGTGGCTCGTACATCAGATTGCGTGCAGCCAGCAGTAACAGCCTGGTTGATCAGGCCCTGTTCCACCATGAGGCCTGGTCACAGACCTGGCAATGGGGGCATTGAGCCCCAAAACTCTCCACGTAAACTCCAGGTATGGTAGGATTGTGGACAGTGGAGTCAGAGTTCACATGCTGTGGATTCCATCTCACATTGGTCTTCATATGCATGATATAACTGATGAATTGGCTAAGTTGAATGCTTTCAAAGAGGGGATAGATTAAAATCTTGGCTTGTCAGTTAGCAGTGTGAGAATAATAATACGAAAAGAACTTCAACTGAATTTTATTGACTTAAGACTTAGGGAGATTGACACCAGTGAGTCCATCTATCATCATTCTATCATGCAGGAGGAGCCACATGTCTATGGTGCATCCAACAAAATAAACAGACTCTTGGATGTCACTACTGTCCGGCTCCGGCTGGGTTACAAGTATCTTTGGCAGGTTAAATCACCACCACCAGATTTACACCAAACGAAATGTAAACTTTGCAGATGGACTATTGTCACACCCTGCGTCATTATGTACTGGAGTGTAATAAAATTAATGTGCAGAAATGTTCAAGATAAGTCAAAGTATTTTATCCACAGTTGTATATTACAGACCATTCTGGAAAAAATACCCTGACTTTGTTCACTGTAAATAAAGCATTACCATATGTGTGTGCTTATGTGTGTGTGCATGTATTTGTTTGCCTGTGTGTGTGTGTGCTATCACCTAATTGTACTTACCTAATTGTGGTTGCAAGGGTCGAGACTCAGCTCCTTGCTCCGCCTCTTCACTGAATGCTACTAGGTCCTCTCTCTCCCTGCTCCATGAGCTTTATCATACTTCATCTTAAAGCTATGTATGGTTCCTGCCTCCACTACCTCACTTCCTAGGCTATTCCACTTCCTGACCACTCCACAAAGGTGGCAGAAATGCAATTACAAAGAACTACAGACTGATAGCACTAACATCCCATACCATAAAAATCTTTGAGAGGGTTCTAAGAAGCAAGATAGCCAACCACCTAGATACCCATCAGTTACACAACCCAGGGCAACATGGGTTTAGAGCAGATCGCTCCTGAATGTCCCAGCTACTGGACCACTATGACAAGGTCCTGGATGCTGTAGAGGATAAGCAAAACACAGATGTAGTATACACAGACTTTGCAAAAGCTTTTGACAAGTGTGACCATGGTGTAATAGCACACAAAATGCGGGTTAAAGGAATAACTGGAAAAGCTGGTAGATGGATCTACAACTTCCTGACAAATACAACACAAAGAGTAATAGTAAACAGAGTAAAGTACCAGGCAGCCATGATAAAAAGCACTGTTCCATAAGGCACAATATTCACATCTGTTCTATTCCTCGTCCTCATTTCTGACATAAAGATGTAAGCCATAGCTCCCTGTCTTCCTTTGTGAATGACACCCGATCACCATGGCAGTGACCTCCATCGAAGACGCTGCGAGACTCCAAGCAGACATCAACCAAATCTTTGAATGGGCCACTCAAAACAATAAGAGGTTCAATGAGGAAAAAATTCAACTACTCAGATATGGAAAACTTTAAGAAATTAAAAATGTGTCAGGGTATACCACAAATTCTAACCATACAATAGAGCAGAAAAGTAATGTGAAGGACCTGGGAGTGATAATGTCAGAGAATCTCACCTTCAAAAACCACAACAATGTATCTAGCTCATCTGCTAGGAAAATGATAGGATGGATAATGAAAACCTTCAAAACTAGGGATGCCAAGCCCTTGATGATTCTTTTCAAATCGCTTATGCTCTCTAGGCTGGAATACTGCTGTACACTAATGGCCCCCTTCAAGGCTGGTGACATTGCAGACCTGGAGAGAGTACAAAGAACTTTCATGGCACACAAAAGTGTGATAAGGCACCTGAACTGCTGGGAACAGTTGAAGGTCTTTGATCTGTATTCCCTCGAATGCAGGCGAGAGAGATACATGATAATATACACATGGAAGGTCCTGGAGGGATTGGTACCAAACTTGCACATGAAAATCACTCACTACAAAAGCAAAAGACTCGGCAGGAGATGCAACATTCCCCTGATAAAAAGCAGGGTTGCCACGAGTACACTGAGAGACAACACAATAAGTATCCGGGGTCCAATACTGTTCAATTGCCTCCCAGCATACATAAGGGGTGTTACCAATAGAACCCAGGCTGTCTTCAAGAAGGCGCTGGGCAGGTGCCTAAAGTCATTACCTGACCAACCGGGCTGTGGATCGTACGTTGGGTTGCGTGTGGCCAGCAGTAACAGCCTGTTTGATCAGACCCTGATCCACCATGAGGCCTGGTCTCAGACCGGGCCGCGGGGGCATTGACACCCAAAACCCTCTCCAGGTAAACTCGAGGTATGACTGAAGAAATACTTCCAAACATTCCTTTGACTCATCTGGGTCTTGAACTTACAATTATGACCCCTTGTTTCTGTGTCCCCTCTCTGGAACATCCTGTCTGTCCACCTGGAGTTTTCCTGGAGAGAGTTCTGGGGGTCAACGCCCCCGTGGCACAGTCTGTGACCAGGCCTCCTGGTGGATCAGAGCCTGATCAACCAGGCTGTTACTCCTGGCTGCATGCAAACCAATGTACGAGCCACAGCCTGGCTGGTCAGGTACCGACTTTAGGTGCTTGTCCAGTGCCAGCTTGAAGACTGCCAGGGGTCTATTGGTAATCCCCCTTATGTATGCTCAGAGGCAGTTGAACAGTCTCGTGCCCCTGACACTTATTGTATGGTCTCTTAATGTGCTAGTAACAACCCTGCTTTTCATTGGGGGATGTTGCATCATCTGCCAAGTCTTTCACTTATGTTGTGAGTGATTTTCGTGTGCAAGTTTGGTACTAGTCCCTCTAGGATTTTCCAGGTGTATATAATCATGTATCTCTCCCGCCTGCCTTCCAGGGAATACAGGTTCAGGAACTTCAAGTGCTCCCAGTAATTGAGTTGTTTTATCTCCGTTATGCACGCCGTGAAGGTTCTCTGTACATTTTCTAGGTCAACAATTTCACCTGCCTTGAAAGGTGCTGTTAGTGTGCAGCAATATTCTTGCCTAGAAAGAACAAGTGACCTGAAGAGTGTCATCATGGGCTTGGCATCCCTAGTTTTGAAGGTTCTCATTATCCATCCTGTCATTTTTCTAGCAGCAGCGATTCATACAATGTTATGGTCCTTGAAGGTGAGATCCTCCGACATGATCACTCCCAGGTTTTTGACGTTGGTGTTTCGTTCTATTTTGTGGCTAGAATTTGTTTTGTACTCTGATGAAGATTTAATTTCCTCGTGTTTACCATATCTGAGTAATTGAAATTTCTCATTGTTGAACTTCATATTGTCTTCTGCAGCCCACTGAAAGATTTGGTTGATGTCCGCCTGGAACCTTGCAGTGTCTGCAATAGAAGACACTGTCATGCAGATTTGGGTGTCATCTGCAAAGGAAGACATGGTGCTGTGGCTGACATCCTTGTCTCTCAGAAATGAGGATGAGAAACAAGATGGGAGCGAGTACTGTGCCTTGTGGAACAGAGCTTTTCATCGTAGCTGCCTCGGACTTTACTCTGTTGACTACTACTCTTTGTGTTCTGTTTGTGAGGAAATTATAGATCCTTCTACCAACTTTTCCTGTTATTCCTTTAGCACGCATTTTGTGTGCTATTATGCCATGGTCACACTTGTCAAAGGCTTTTACAAAGTCTGTATATATTACATCTGCATTCTTTTTGTCTTCTAGTGCGTCTAGGGCCTTGTCATAGTGATCCAATAGTTGAGACAGACAGGAGCGGCCTGTTCTAAACCCATGTTGCCCTGGGTTGTGTAATTGATGGGTTTCTAGATGGGTGGGGATCGTGCTTCTTAGGACCCTTTCAAAGATTTTTATGATATGGGATGTTAGTGCTATCCGTCTGTAGTACTTCGCTATTACTTTACTGCCCCCTTTGTGGAGTGGATCTATGTCTGTTGTTTTTAGTAACTGTGGGACAACCCCCGTGTCCATGCTCCCTCTCCATAGGATGGTAAAAGCTCGTGATAGGGGCTTCTTGCAGTTCTTGATGAACACGGAGTTCCATGAGTCTGGCCCTGGAGCAGAGTGCATGGGCATGTCATTTATTGCCTGTTCAAAGTCATTTGGCACCAGGATAACATCAGATAGTCTTGTGTTAACCAAATTCTGTGGCTCTCTCATAAAAAAATCAATTTGATCTTCGACTCTCAGTCTGGTTAGCGGCTTGCTAAAAACTGAGTCATATTGGGACTTTAGCTCACTCATTTCCTTGCTGTCATCTGTATAGGACCCATCTTGTTTAAGTAGGGGCGAATACTGGATGTTGTTCTCGACTTTGATTTGGCATAGGAGAAGAAATACTTTGGGTTTCTTTCGTTTTCACTTATGGCTTTTAGTTCTTCCCGCGATTCCTGACTCCTATAAGATTCCTTTAGCTTAAGTTCGATGTTTGCTATTTCTCTGACCAGTGACTCCCTACAAATTTCAGATATATTGGCCTCTTTTAGCCGCTCTGTTATTCTTTTCCGTCGCCTGTAAAGGGAGCGCCTGTCTCTTTCTATTTTACATCTACTCCTCCTTTTTCTTAGAGGAATAAGCCTTGTGCATACATCGAGTGCCACCGAGTTAATCTGTTCTAGGCATAAGTTGGGGTCTGTGTTGCTTAGTCTATCTTCCCAGCTTATATCAGTTAGGACTTGGTTTACTTGGTCCCACTTTGTTTT